AGGGAGAGAAAGAGAGAGATGGAAGGTGATGATGATTTATCCAAGACGAACAAGGGAGAAAGAGATATGGGAAGGGAGATGGAAGATGAAGACTGACCAAAAGCAAGAGAGACTATTCCTTGGTCTCCTGATGATAAGTCGGCTACTAGTGCCGGCCATGCATCTGGATGAATTCTATCGATGTCTTTGAAACCGGAGACTTGATACAAGATCTGCATATGACAATGTATCATACAGATTTATGAGACTCATTGCCTAAAGAGCATCAGAAGTAGAAAACAGGAGAAATTTTAACGCCAGACAACCTTTTTATCAGCTTCTGGAAGTTGTCTCTTCTCCAAGGCCACCTTCCAACTTACAAGATCCTGACGTGATAAAGGGCTGCATTATAAGCGCTCATGAGCATACCCAAGTAGAAGAAGACTGCTTTACAGAAAAATTGAATACTCATGATAAGTTCACACAAAAGGCTTAGGCAATCACCTTTCAGGGGAGAAGTGAAATGGACCTTCTTCCTCTTCTACTGATGCAGACTTCAAATCAAGGCTTGACAGCTTGCTTGAAATAAGTCCTGCTTCAGCCAAACCTGAAATACTTAACTTATTTAGGGACCACACGGTCAATAGAGCTTCATCAATCATATTTGCAAGGCAAAAAATCCTGAATTACAGTTTTCTCACCTTGAATGGATGCAAAGTCGGGATCATCAGGAGTAACATCATCAAATGCCAGTTCAGTAACATTCTCTATGTACATGGCGGGATATACTTTTGATACAGGGTTTCTTCAACAATGCATAAAGAAAAAGTCAATCCTGAAATTCTATAGTTTGATAGGAGCCATTTTACATTTAAGAAGAAAAACGATTCACCTTGAAAGACCACTGGCAGAAATCAACCAGCGAGCATATTCACGACGTGAGCATAAATCACCAGGTTGAGCATCAGCCTCAATAACCTGGAACAAAAGGTTCAATAAATAGTCCGTCTCGCTTGCAGTCTGTATAGTCAAGCTTCGTGATATAGACACAAAAACCAGCAACAAATTGTACCTTCAGAACTTGCAGGGCTGCAAGTGTTTGACCCTGACCTTGATCAATAGCAGCAGGAACCAGAAGCTTGCCAGGTGGCACACGGAGAGCCTCAAAAACTGCAGATGGAGCAGGTATGCCCACAGAGGAGAAAGCACTCAAGGGCACTTGTGATTCACCAAACAATCTACTTTCATCTGGCTCAGATAAAATTCTCTCTAGCACATTTGTGGAAGCAGATGATGAAGGCAAAGATGTTTCAGGAGACACGTTTTCTTGCAAGTAATTCACATCTACAGTTGAAGTAGTACTCTCCATTTTTAACGGTACAGTTTCACTCTGGTCAAGGTTCTCACTTGGTGAACTGTCAGAAACAAGTGCAGCATTTGGCTCCACAACTTCATCAACCACAGATTGAGAGGAAGTCAAGGAAATGGAATTTCCTTCAAACTTCAAGGCAGACAAATCCACAACTTCATCGATGTTACTGTTCACTGAATCGGATTCAGCGCCAGGCTTATCAACTACCAAGGTTTCTTCAGCCACAGCAACTGATTGCATAAGACTTGAGATGCTTCTCCCGCTTTCAATTTCAGCACTCAACTCAGTCTGGGAAGAGTAGGACTTCATCTCACGCACAACCGAATCATCATCAATAGACAAAACAGTTTCTAGCTCTTCATCCGCGGAAGCATGAATAGCTGCAACAGCCGAGCCAATAGACGATTCACCATTTACTTCTGGAGAAAGCTGATAATCATTACCAAGCTTATTTTCACTTGGCATTTCATCAAGTTGAGGCGATGAAGCTATATCTTCCTCAGTCTCAAGGCCACTTACACCAGTCTTCCCATGATCTTCTGCAGTTGTATCATCCACAGCTCTATCATCGTCCTTCTCGGATGACAAAAATGCTTCCTGTTGAGGCGTTAATGGCTCCATATGTTGATCGGGTCCTGTTTATTGCAACATAAATTTAATCATACACTAATATTTGACATCATATCTTACCTTTGAGACATCAAAAATTGAGGAAATTATCAAAAAAGAGACTCCAAATTTTAGAATTTCACAAGCAGCAAGTCAACGACTTACTACTTGATGTGCTCCGTTTGTTAAGCGCTAAGCCGGCCAATGTAACGCCAGCGACCAAGACGAGCCCAGCTGCTCCGGCGGTCACATACCCTGAAAGCAAACTACTCTCAACTACTTATTCTGGTCCAGGATATGGTAGAGCAGTCGATTAACTAGTGAAACGCACACGATCATAGATTTTCTCAGGCACCAAAAAGGTCTCCATCTCGTACCTCCAAACCAATTCTTCCCTTCGGACTTGGACTGATCTTCTCCATTGGCGGAATCGGACCATCCAGCGAAATTATCCTTGGTGGAGGACGAGGAGGAGGAAACAGCCCAGGAGCTCCAATTGCGAGACCGTCCCGTTCCGCTCTGAGCTACACAGAGTAGGCGAACATTACGATTGAGCTTCCCTGGACGACCTCGCACCAGAAGCGCCGGACTTGAAGCTCCTCGACATTTCCCGGAGTTGAAGGCTAATCGAAGCTGAGGGCAGCTCGGCGACGCAGCGGACGCCATGGAATATCGCAGAAGAGTTCAGCAATCGACGACGCAAAAGGGGAAGCTGGGTGATTGGATTGGGAAGGGGAAGATTTCTAGGGTTATTCCTTTCTCAGTGAGCGTCCGGTGTGTTGAGTGGGGAAGATGGAGATATCCGATAATGGGATTTTTTTTTTTTTGGCAACGCCTTTTCTTTTTTCTATAATGTCGTCTCTCCACCTATGACCTACCTAATCGAAGCAGTGACTGTAGGAATGGCAATGGGGCAGGTCCGGAGCGGATTTCTTGGCAGGTCGGGTTCAGGTCGGGTAATTTATCACGGGTCGGGACAGGTCGACCCAATGGGTATGCAATTTATATGAAAAATATTAGAAATATTCGTTGTTTTTATTATAAGACCAAGGAAACAAACAATATTATGAGAAATATAGTTAAATTATTGGAGAAATTGAGGTTTTCACTAATTTACGTCTTTATTATAGCTAAGATTTGATGTAATAAAAGAGAAATCCTAAGTAATTTGACTAAAATTACGTGTAATTTAGACAAGAACGGGTCGAGAATGGGGCGGGTCAGGACAGGTCGGGTCGATGAGAGTACCCATGCCCGCCCCGCCCCGCCTACGGGGCGGGTCGGACCCGCCCCAAAACAGGTCAAACAGATCGGGTAAAACGGGTCAGGTCAAAATTGCCATCGACTGATAGTTTTTTCTGTTTTCGCTTTTCTTTTTATTATTTTTTCGAGGAATGCAGAATCCCACCGGCTGGACGTCATTTTCAGTTTGGACTTTCGAAATTTTGCGACGACAACAAAATAAGGCGTGAACGCTGCCGTTTTCGTGCCACTGCACCCATGCCCTGGAACTTGAAGTCCGAAGGCTACACCATATTCTCGTTCTCAGCCTCTGAAAAAAGGACTGTGGTCTATGTGATTTCCAACGACTCAAAATCATCCATTATTTACATTCAACATGATCTTATGGAAGTATTTGTGGAATCTTCTCGTATTTGTATAAAATTAGATATCTCAAACAAAACAAAAAATAGTGAAAGTGTATAATAAGAGATATCACGATGTAACAAAAATATCCTTTCGTTAGAAATGTTGTTTAGTCACCATCGATAACTGGGTGCGTAGTGACCCAATTACCTCTTATTGTAATTCAAATTTAATTCTCTTTGTGCAAACGGATTAAAAAAAATCTCTAATCTAACTTGCATGTTGACCACACCACCGAGTCTGGCGATCATCTTCACCTCCGCCGTCCACCAACTTCTCCCGACGGTCGGCGCCCACCTACTGGCTACTGGTGCGCTGCTAATCCTTCGGCCCCAAGCTATTCCGCCAATACCTACCTGATCGCATAGGCAGTGGCAGACTTCGGCCGGTGGTGGCGAGGAGCAGAACACAAGCACAAGACTGCTTGCAATTCCCTCATTTTCTGCTCCCTCATATACGACGACATATCAGTAGGGATGAAAATTGTTCTAACCCGTCCCTGACCCTGTCCGACCCGTCGCTAAAGGGTCAAGATATATAACTGACACGTCCCGTCCATGTCTCCTTCTTGACCCTGTCTGACCCTCAAGGGTTGCGACGGGTCAGTGGGTCAACCCTAATTAACACACTACTTTTTTACAAATTACGTTTTGGTATGCAAAATTATTTTTTCTTACAATTTAGTACCTAAAATTTATTTATTTATACAAATAATTCCATAAATTTTGATGGTAAAGTTGCGTTTTGGTACCCAAAATTTTTTATTTTTACAAATTAGTACCTAAACTTTTAAAACTTTACAAAAAAGGTCCAATGTTTTTTTTTAGATATTTGTTGTTGCGGTCCTAAGTTGTCCCGATCCTACCCGTTCCTTAGAGGGTCAAAAGCTGACTCGTCCCTAAACTGACCTTATAGACAAACTGATTCGTCCCGACTCTCAGGGACAGGACGGGTCAGTGGGCTTTTAGAGTCAAATTTACACCCATACGTAACAGGACGGGACTGTGGCCCACAAAATAATAATTGAATATTGGTTCTTTCTAGGACCATGTATATTGGGTAGATGGAGAGTGGAAGTAATAATGTTTTTGGTTGAAGCAATGGTTTCATTCATGCACTAAGGATTCTTCGAGGGACGCTCTCCTTGCCTGCTGCAGCTTGGTCGACGACATGAATGAATTAGGAAGGGGTTGGGTTTTCATCGACAGACGACAGCGGCAGGGGGAGAGATGGTAGTAAAGAATCAGGTGGGGGTAATTAGGTCATTCCCTACCCCAATTAACGGTGACTAGACAGAATCATTGACAAAAGAGTATTTTTGTTACATCATGATATTAGAAGAATATATTTGTAAAAAAAAAATACATACGCAAGTTGTTAATTTGTAATAATAGAAGGGTACAAAATGTTATTAACCAACAGGTTAGTACCGATTAAAACCACTAAAATGCGAGCCGCACGTACTTTACCGCCGATTCATACACCGGTTCGGTTCCGACAACATTGCTTAACAGGAATACTAAGTAGCAATTCAACTAACAAATCTCAGCAGTAAATCTGAAAACGACTAACAAATCCCAAGCACCAAACAATTACACTCAACAGAATACCAAAGCTAGCAATTTCAATAGTAAATGACTAACAAAGCCAAACGAAGTACTAAACATAATTCTACAATTCTACTCCAATAAAATACCAGAAGTAGCAAATCAACCTCAATATCAACAATAACCTTGGTACTGTCGTTAATCCCTCCACGATTCTCTTGGTTAAGTATTGACTGCTATATCAAAGGCTGCAGGGGGCACCGGGAACACAAGCAACCAAAACACATCAAAATTACATATATATCCTACCATCTCAAATTCCAATTGAAAAAATACAGATCTAAAATACAAAAGAGAAAGAAAAAAAAGCAATAACATACCAGATACTTCAGATTCAGCATTAACAGGAGCATTCATTGGAGGCACCTGCTGCTGCTGCTGCTGCACAGGTAGAACTCCAGTAGGAGCTGGCTCAATAGGAATATTGGCCTGGGGATTAGCATTCCCACCTGATACTTCAAACAATTTCGAATTGAAAAAATTAAAATAAGAAACACTTGGTTACTGTCAAGGATGTAAAGAACAATGAGAAGACAGTGTCTATTATCCTGACCTATATTAGCATTAGACTGATTCAAATGTTTTACTGACTTACCAAACTTCAATTCAACAAGCTTCCGATACAAACAAGCGGTATAACCAGTCACAGCACGGTAGGAAATGCCGCGGGGGATAACATGTGCTAGATACTCATCACACAGTGTGCACTCGGATATGACAGCATTAAGAATATCTGCACCTAAATTCACAAGATCAAATAACACCAACAGTATACAAATTTAGCACAAAGACACATTACAATTATTCAGTAGTTCATTATATAAATTTAGCACTATCAGCAGTTCATTTAAGCAAACATTCAGACAAAATTACCAAACCTTGAACATTAGCTCCTGGAACAAGGACTTGAAGGTGATCATCCAAAACAGAGAGATTAGCAAGGGATAGGTTAACCTCATTGGGCACTACACTTTCATCAACAAGACTAAGCTTCTTGGCTACAAGAAGCTGATGGAATTGGAGTGCCCGGCCAAGGATATCAGGCATCTCAGGAAACTGGTGGATCACGTTAGCTACTGAAACCAACTCTTCACTGAGCGCAGTTTTAAGCGCAGCTGATGTTGGAACAACACTGAATTGTGCAGATGCCATCAGATGAAAAACGCCAACTCTTAAGAAAGACAAACGATCCTGAAACCAATAAAAAATGGAACTTCAATTAAAAGCAAGAACAAAACCAGATCAGCAAAAAACAGGACAACGACCACCACAATCATCGCAATACAATGAAACGACAAGAAAAGAAAAGAAAAGAAAAAATCTCGATCTAGGAATTAGAGATGCAGAATCAGGGAAACGCGCTAATATTTTAATGTCGCAAAACAGAACGACCGGTTCAATCATCTCTATACGTAATACGTCTAAAGGCAGACTAATCACATGAGAGGCAGATCTAGCATTTTTAAAGACGAAGAACCATAGGAAGAATGCTGAATTCGTGGACAAAAAGAACACTAATAATGCCGTAAATAAAATCGGAAGAAGCAACCGCAGAACTAGTATTTGGAGACGAGGAATCATAGGTAGAAAACTAAATTCGTCGACAAAAAGAACACTAATTCTGCACGCACACTGCGCTAGACAGAGAAGCCATGGATTAAAACAGAGCGAGAACTTACGAACAGTGGAAATCGGAATGAAAACAGAGAGCAGAGGTTGTTCTCCTGCTTACGGAAAATTGGAGTCTGGAGAGGACGACTGTAAATACTAAATATATTTTTTTTTTTTTGGGTAATCACTGTAAATACTAAATATGCCGCTAGTTTCAACTATTAGGATTTTAGCGAGTAAATCCGAATAACAATTACTGGGCTACAACACATTTAACAAGCGAGCCCGGTAACTTGAATACAAATGGTCTCATAATACTCTCATTCGGTTTACTGGGCTGCAATCCAGTGAGAGCCCAGTAAAAATTGCTTTTATGTTTAGAAACAAGAAAATGACTGAATTGAAATGAAATAGACGCACCAAAATCCCAAACTGGGCTGTAACGAAGTTAGAAAAGAAGCCCAGCCAACTAAAATCTTTCTTTCACATAAACCACAACACATATGACTAAAATAACTTGAAGAGAAGTAAACGAAGAACCAACTTGGTTGCTGGAGATCTCATCTCACCCAGAATAGAAGTACCTCCCGATCTTCAAAGAGAATGAATACACGTTTCAACTCGGATGTTCAAAACAAGGGATGGTAAGAACCATCAGAAAAGAAGAGAGCATTTTCATGAGGAAAGTATTGCTCCGATTACTCATATCAAATGAATTTAACTACAAGAGGGAGGGAGCTTCAAGTTAGAAGAATTTAACTACAAGGGGGAGGAAAGGTAGGGGTACACGAATAACAACAAAGCTCTAATTATATGAAGAAATGGCGTATTCGCTGTTGAGCCTTTCTTTATTTAATGGAACGAATAAAGGTAAAGCAATAAATAATAAACTAGTCTATAGCCCGCCCGTTGGTCGTAATTGTTTAAGGAAAATGGAGTTACAATATCTATAATGGTAGTGTCGAGAAATGAGTCTTGTTTTATATTATCATAAGATTGTTGCAATTTTACAATTCGTTGAAGACGAACATGTAATTTGAATGAACATTCACAATAAGTTAGAAATAAAGTCATTATTTAATTAAGGGAAAAAGCATATCATTCACACACGTATTGTAAGGATGGGGAGGAATTAACAATTTCAGTCCGTGTACCCTCTGTGATGATAGGTAACGTCTGTCGGAAATCACCTCCAAACACAATAGTCATACCTCCAAAAGGCTTCAACTCAGAATCAACATGCTTAACTCGGAAAATATCCCTCAATGTCCTATCTAGGGCCTCTATGTTGTGTTTATGAGCCATCGGTGCCTCATCCTAGATAATAGGTGAAGCATTGAGAATCAATTCAGCTACCTCAGAACCTTGCTCAATATTGCAAGTTGATTTTGTATCACAATCCAGGGGAATGTGAAATCTTGAGTGTGCAGTTCTTCCACCGACCATGAGCAGTGCAGCAATACCAGATGAAGCAACACATAATAATATCCTCTTCTCAAATCTTAATTGCTCACAAATTGCTCGCCACAGAAATGTATTACCAGTACCCCCAAATCCATCCACAAAAAGCATTTACCCTCATTGGTATAAACAGAATGTAATACCATATCGTAAGCGATTTGTTGTTCTCCATTCAACGGTCTACAATGCCGATCCTCAGAACAGTCTAAGTCACCGGGTCCATAATTCATCTCCATATCCATCAGCCTGTTTACCGTATGTGAACGCAAACACTGATCGGGAACAGGCAACCCAGGGAAATCTGCTAATGACTTCGAAAATCTCTCCATCAATTTGCAATATGAATAAGGCACAACTCCTTAATTTCATCCTCCGACAAATTCAACTGGGGTAAATTCAGCTCTCTACGCCGTGAATGCAAAATGCTTTCACTTAGTAATTCCCAATTCTTTAACCAAAAAGAAGTCACATCAGCCACCTGACAATGAATAAGAATTGTGACAAAAAGTTTTCTAAGTTTATAACCAGAAGCCCAATGCGAAGCTTCTTGTACACAATCATTCCATTCAGAATCTCTGGATAACAGTCCCCGAGCATAACATGCTTTTTGGAATGTCTCATATACCACCCCATTCACTGTTCTAATATCATCATAAGAACAACAACCCCTAACAACATGCAATAGCATTCGCAAATAGTACCGCTCCTTTATAGATGGGTAGCAGTAATATAATCTAGCAATGCATGTACCTTTCTTGCGTTGCTGCCACTTCTTGTATTTTTTATTCCATACATAATATTGTGGCATCTCCGCAAAGGTATATTTCCATGCATCCATTGACTGAAGATTGAGATCCATCCATGCTAACAACATTGAGGTTTGAGAACTGCTAGACTCAACCGCTTCCTCCATGTTAGATTCAACATTTGAATACACTGTATTCTCCCTAGGCAAATGAGAGGACACACGAAGTACTGTTGGGGAGTGAGTGTATATATCAAACCTAAAAATTCTCCAACATGCTTCTCCCGATGTGATGTAACGGGCATCCATGAATGCCTTTATTTCATCAATTTGCACAATCGTAGTTCCACGATTCCGACCATCCATAGCCGAAGCTGTTTGTTGTGCAGCTACAGTGACCATTGCACGATCCTCGAGTTTGTTGATGTACTTAAACAAATATTTAACAGCCATATATAAACATCAAATAAAACCAAGTAGTAGATGTTAGATAGGGAAGTAGGAAAAAGTTGTATTACATTTTTTCTTAAATGTGACTTGTATTAAATAAGAAACCAAAACACAATACGCAAAGTACAGAGAACAAAAGGCAACAAATGGATCACAATAGCTTATCCAAGGGGCAAAAAAAAAAAGAAGAAGGAAAACACTGCAAAGAATATTACAAATATTACAGAGTTGCGGGAAGAAGTCACACCAATAAGATAAAACTGGATTTATAAAATAAATAAAAAAAAGAGAAATCACACAAATATTGGTTTGATTTTTATTCATCTTTGGAAATTAAATCATAATTAATATGCATGCATAAAGTTAATAATGAGTGTAGCATATAAATATACATATAGCCTGTCATTAAGAATCTGAGTTTGGTAATATAATAAAGGAAACAACGTCATATAGATTAATACGATTTACTTCAGCCATACCTTGTCTTGTTACAAAATTCAATATTGATATGCGCTCCAAATCGTAGTAACAAATATCGATTCTATGGTACAACCCATCGATTATCCAGATCAACCCCGCCACAGTTGAAAACTCTACCATTGTTCGGCCGACGATATTTAGCAAACCCAGTTTCATCTATAGTTTTTTTTAGAAGAGTATTCCTTGGGGTAATGCTTACTACATGTCCCATTCTTCATGCACACATTATTAGGACGTACTGTACCACACGGGCCATGCATCATTGAACTTGTGACAACTGCATATAGTTCAGGATCAAGATCAGGATCCGAAATTTCAGCATAAATTATGGAATCAATAGGCGCAGGACCATGAAATTTATTCTCCGAGGACAAAAAAAGCAATATGTGTGCATGAGGGAGACCCCGCTTTTGCCATTCAATTGCTTTGACATCTGTACAGCAAGATGCAAATAGTGGAAAAGGAGTATTAGTTCAATGAGGTAAGAGAGTAATGGATCAACATTAATAGATAAATAACGAATGAATAAGCACAAATACATGCATTGATTTTCCCAAATAATTCTTTCTCGCGAATCTCTAACATAAACTCATCAAGCTTGATTTTGAAAACTCTGGCGGTGATGTCAGCCCGGTCAGGATCTTTGCCACTGTACCTTCTAATCAAATCAACCATTAACTGTATCTCTGGCCAGTTAGAATTGCAAGTGAATGTTATAAACAAATCAGGATAACCAATCCACTTGCAAATAGCCATCGCATCCTGAAAATTTTCATACTTGTATCTTGGACTACCGGTGTGTGAGGCAGCTAAAATAACTGGCTTCCCAGAAAGCTTGATATCACTATCCCCTCGCAAATAAGAATTCAACAAATCCTTGTAGTAGTGTCCTCTTAGCTTCGACTGATGGGTACGCATCCAGTCTAAGCGTTCAGCCTCAATTAACGCAAATGCATTCACCATATATTGTTGAAACAATTTACCAGATAATAACAAAGAATTCGACTCCTGGAGACGGGGTTGAAGACGATATGCGTAGAAATCACACTGCGTTATCATTTTATCTCCAACACGGATATTAGAGCTACTATGACTATAGCTAATACAGGGATGTCACCCATCCTCGCCATATAGGAATAAAATTGGATATTGTAATGCCATAAGACTTGGATGGTATAGGCTAATCCTTTCCATTTCTGAACCCTTCTGTTGAACAATTATATCTGGAGAAAATGATTGCTCTCCTGTTTCATCTACAATCAATGCTGCAATCTCATTCCCAGAGGGCAAATCATATTCTCTACTATTAATTTCACGCTTAGCCAATAGTTTCGGTTGAAGCTCCTGGACACCAGAGTTTTGTATCCTATCTCGCGCAGAACGAAATGTACGTACCAGGATATTATTGACATCAAACATATGCTGGAGGCCTTCAACAATACACTGGCGCAACAGATTCTTGGCAGGATCAGTGGAGTAAAAGTCCATGCGATTCTGGACCTCGTTATCTGAATCGTGAATGTAAAGCTATGCAAATTTCATACTATCCCCATCACCAGGAACCAAACATCCTATTTGATGATAAATCTGACCACCGATTGAATATACATAAACTCCACGACCATGATTAATAGAGTGATTGACTTTACCTCCAAGAGAAATAAAGCAAAAAACCCCATTATAGGCTCTGATGTTAGTACGAAAGTGACACACTAATGGTGTATCCCCTTCAAGTAGAGTTTTAAGAAATTCGGGCACATCTCTGCGGAGAGGCAATTTCACTTTACCATGTTTGCAACATAAAGGAAATGCAGGCAACACATCATTCTGTGTAGATAAAGTACTCTCGAACCGCCACATAACTGCTCCACAATGTTGACACGTACATGAAGGTGGACCAATATAAAAAAAATTCAACCAACGGAAGACCTAGTGAAATAGATAAGTAATATTAATAAATTTTTGTCACAGTAATTCATAAATTGAATGAGTTTGAGAAAATGTCAAGCCCATGTACTCGCGCTACAGTAAACACAATTATTAAAACAAATGTTCTCACGGAAAAATAGATTGGTATACTGCTCATTTTAAGTAAGAATAACTCAAATTTCAGGAAACACTAAAGTTTGTTCAAAACACACAAATTTGTCGTTGACACATCAACATCTAAAAACGATCCATTATTTGCATAAGGTCACATGAAGCGTACAACACTAAATTATATACATGACATAAATGGGTACATTATATGTTCTAAGACCAAAATAGGGAACAAAATATGTTGACCAGAACACTAAAACAAATATCCAATGTACAAATATCCAATTAACCATGTCATGTATAACAATGCCCATTAGAATCTACATACTTTGATTGACTTCTATAGGAAAGAAACTTCGGCCACGTCTCTTTCTATGCAGATGAATACATCAAAGTAATCGACTTTGCTTTTGTAATAGAAATCTAAACTGAGGCTCCCAAACTATGAACAACACCAAAACAAATAAGTTAATAAAGAAATAAATAAAGAGTGAACAATACAGAATAGCCTAATATGTAAGACTTGCTACAAAATTTAGCAAACAACAACCTTGGTGTTCAAAAGGCAAGCCCCTCCTATGAACCTTCTGTTTCAAAATATGATGTCTTCTCTTACGGGCGACTTGGGATAGCATTCGCCGAGGTTGAGAGA